ATTAAAAGATAAGTAATATTATAAAGGGTAATGTCGTTTTTTAAATAAAGGTAAAAGTTAAAAAATATTTGAGAATAAAAAATTATACATAATAAAGTATTTAAGATAGGTCATAATCTAGTGTAACTTCAAGTAAGTGTTTTCTTAAACTACTTTTAAAAGTTTGAATTAATGTTGCAGTTTTACAATTATTTGGGAGAAATATTAATAATATTTTAAACAACCGCAACACTTTTAGAATAAATTTTGTTGTAATGAATATATCTATTAGCTATTCAACAGAATAGCATTAGGACTGCAATTCAAAGAAATATCACTTGGTCTAGCAGTTCGACAAATCTTTACAACATCAGTTTTCCGGGAAATTTTAAATACAAACAATAAACTTTTATGATTTAAAACTTTGATAAAGTACGCAATAAAAATGTTTCTATGGTTCATGGTTGCAAAAACCTTCCCAACAATGTTCAGGCTGATGATACAGATGTGACTTTTAATGCTTTTTTATCAATATTTGGCAAATAATGTTTCTTAACTCCGTTTAAAACTCAGAGAGTATGAGGCAGATCCATAGCAATCATGGACTACTGGGCAACAAACAAAAAAAGTGCAAATTAATTGGTCAGTGCTTTCAAAAAGGTATATAAAGGATATCAATAGATTTCACCAGCCAATTTAAGGTTAACTCTCTTTTAAATTTAAAACTATCAGTAAACATAAAAACACAAAATGATAAGCTTAATAAAAATTTTTCCAATAGTCATACTGCTCCGAGCATCAAAAGATAAACGTGTTCTTCGATTGTCCTTATATTTAAACAAATTTTCTTTAAAAATTAGGTATTCTAAGTTTATTTATGCTCTTTGCAATGGTACCGTTATCTCTTAAAAGCTACCTACGAAACGGGCTGCTCATTTTCATGGTTCCAAAACATAGGTTTTTTTTTGTTTGTTGCTAATATCTTAACCAAACTGTTTAAAGTTATGTGATTTTTTTCCAAGTATTACTCCAATTTTACCATACTAATGGAGTATGCAATATTAGGAAAAATCGTATTTGGTTAATTAAATCGGTTAATTAAATTCGGTAAAATAAAATTCGGTTAATTGATTAGAAGACTTTTAATGACTTTATACTTTTATTTCCTCTTTACATATTAAACTCCATAGTTGTGGTCTTTTTGATAAGATAAATAAGTCAGCTTTATAAGTATAATCAATGAAATTTTAAAGCGCACTTTGTTGAATTTTTTATCAAGCTTAGAAATTGATTTTCAATGTATTTTGGTAGAATGCCGTATTCGGTTAATTAAATTTCTTAAAATTATAAGCATTATCCACAAAACAGAACACTTACTAAGTAAAAAAAATTAAATAAATTTTATTACTCTTTTATCTTTAGCTTTATAAGCTATTGTAAAACTGCGAGGGCAAGTACCTACAATTCAGCATCGAAAAAAATATACCTTATTGGACAAAACATTTGCAACCAACAAAGAACTATTCTAAAAAGTATTCCTAATTTTACATGTCTTAAAAACGAAAATTTTTTTGGTTTGTTTCATTTTCTTAAGTCTGGTCCGTGTTAATGTCACGGAAGTTTTTTAATAATTAAAGAAAGTTTCCAAAAGTTTCCTGAAGTTTCCAAAAGCATGCAGAAGCTTCCAGAAGTTTCCAGAAGAAGTATCTGGAAGCATCCAGAAGCATCCAGAAGCATCCAGAAGTATCCAGAAACATTTAGAAGCATCCAGACCCATCCAGAAGGTTCCAGAAGCATCAAAAAGAAGCATCGAGAATCTTCCAGAACAGTTTTACACAGGTTCATTTTACTATATACGAGACATGTAAACCGACATGTTATTCAGTCAGTATATGGAAATCAATCAGTCAGTATTTTCAAGACAGTTTATCAAAGTAAGTTTTATCAAAGTGTTTTATCAAAAAACATCAATACAAGAAGTGAAATACAACAAGTGTTTCATTACATCAATATAGTCCAAAGACGTTGTGTTCCACAGAGCATTATTGTATCATCACAAGATAAATATAACACGGTAAGCCTTGAGAAGCGTGATTATTTATTTTTATGAACTCAAGTGCAAAAATGGCTCCTGACAGTCTTGAAGTGAAACTAAGAAAAAAAATTATTGGCGATTACGTAAGTGGAATGTCACAAAAAAGTACTTGCGATAATTAGCACGTGAAAAAGTGGACCGCATTAAGACTATGTTCCAAAAATCGTTCTACGGGGAAGTTGACAACCAGAATTTCACTAAAGAACCAGACTACTGTTTGTTACATCTCATATTGACTGGAAAATGCAGAAATTGAAACTGTCCTGTTGATAATTCGAAGTTCAACATCATTGAGAGCGATGGCATTTGCCGTGTACGTCGACCGGCCGGAAAACGCCTCGATTTACGTTACTGCCATAAGACCATGAAGCATAGTAAAGGCAATGGTCTAGGAGTGTTTTTCTGCTAACAGTCTAGATCCAATACATCGAAATGATGGAATACTGGACCTTTCATGTATAAAAATATCCTGAAAGATGTTATGTTACCTCATGCTGAATGGAATATGCCAATAAAGTGGGTTTTTTTAGCGAGACAACGATCCAAAACTCAATGCAAAAGTAGTCAAGCAGTCGTTTCAAGACAACCACCTATCGGTGATGGATTGGTTGTTTTAATCTTCTGATTCCAACCCTATCGAGAACCTGTGGGAGATCGTCAACCGCAGAATTAATCGTGAAGGTGTTCGTAATAAGTATCAACTGTTTAAACAAATCCAAAAGGTATGGGAGCAACTCCACTAAATTTCATTGATCACTTGATCGAACCTATGCCTCGAAGATGCAAGGCTGTGATCGACAACAAAGGATTTGTCACAAAATATTGATAGCGAAATACAGCTTGGTCAACATTTTGTGGAGTTGCACTTGTTTTGTCCAGAAGGAAATCAATTTTTTTTTAATACTTTTGATTAATTTATTAATTTTCGTGTACAAATAACGAACTTTGTGATGAATAAAATTTGAAGATAGTTTTCTCTAAACAGTTACATAGTTATTTCTCTAAATTGAAAAAATGCAGCACTTGTATATAAAGAAACTAAATTAGCATTATTTGCTTGCACTTGTTTTGTCCGATACTGTATATAAAACAGAAAAAAGCCAGTAGAATTATATGTAATGTGCATAAATACGCACATTCAAAACCTTTACTCTTGGAAATTAAAGCTCCTAATGTCTATGAGTTGAAAGTGTTCCAAAACTTGTTATTCGTGTTTAAATATCAAAATAACATGCTTCATAAAGGCTTTAATAGCCGATTTCTGAAATATAATTGTAAATACTTAACGAGGTGTTCTATCCATAATTTTAGTTTACCAAAGTCAACTCTTAAAAGATCAGATTACTCAATTTAATATAGAGGACTTCGTCTGTTATAGTTATATAGATGTTCATGAAATATGAAAAGTTCAACTTTTAATAAATTGTTTTAAAAACATAGTTAAACATTATTTACTTGAATTAACAGGCACAAACTTACTATTGAGTTTTTAAGTAAAAAAATCTTGTAATAATTCTTATTGTATCTAGTTAATTAACTTGTACAATTTATGGTATTCTTGTTTTAATTATGTATAAATTTTTTATATATAGCAAATATGTTTGAAATTATATAAAGTAATACTTGTAAAAAATACTTTACTATAAGGGCTTGATAACAACACTTCTTTTTTCTACTTGTTCCTGTTGTTATAAATTTTTATTTAAAACTTATTGATTTAAGTTGTATAACAAGAACGTTGTAAAAGGTTTATAAATGACGTAAAAAAAATCCAAGCCTAAAAAAATGTTATTTGATACGAATAAATATAATTTATAAAACTGAGATATAATCAATATGCAAAAGGATTTCCAGAAATTATATGAAACCAAAAAATTTGTTGCTTGTACATTCTTTTTGATATTTTTTTAGTTTTTAAATATTTTTCGAGTGACAAATAAATAAGAACTTTTATTATATTAACAAATTAACATAAAAAGTAAAGTATAAAGAACAGTTTTTTTATTTTTTTTTTATGTATACAATATATAATTTTTTTTTTTTTTGGCTGTTGATTATTTGATAATTATTCAAAAAGTAACATAGAAGCATTAGAGATTAACTTATACTTATCTTTTACTTCGTTCATAAAAAAATTAAATTAATGGTACTTAGTGTGTTAAATATTAGTTAGTCAGTAATCAGTTAAATATATTAAAGTTATTTCATTATTTTAGGTTTATAAAGACATTTTGAAAATCAAAAATGACATTTTTTACAAAAGCAAATAGATATCTCATGATATATTTATTAAGTTTCAAAATCTTCAGCTAAAAGAAAAGAAAATAATGTACTTATCAATTTCAAATATAAAACTGTTTGTATAGAAGAGGTAACATAGTGGTTTATTGTGTAGACTTATTTATTATGATTTAAATAATACGAAGAATACACAAAAATACATATGTTCTTCTTTCAACTAAATATAACTTATATTTAACATATTAACATATTAAAACATTCAACTTTTGACCATTTAAGCCATGAACCTTGGTTGATTGACTGCATATTTTAATGTAGACTGAACTAAACGTAATTATATTCTAATCTACACAACATTTAGTTATAATAACCTCGCGAACAGTGCCCGTTGAAAGTTTTTTTGCCAAAAATTAATGCTGCGCAATAATATTTTTCTAATAATTGAGGATATATATGCAATTGCATAGATTTTCAAAAAAATTAAATTTTACAAATCCTTTAAGATATCTTATAAATAAGTATAAGAATATTGCAATCCTATAAAATTATATGTTGTCTGTAACATAGAATACCAGGGTAAAGAATAATTTTCAGTATTGAAACTCAAAACAATTTTATGAAGTTAATTTGTGCTAATTTTTATTGTATCTAATTGTTGTTAATTTTGACTAATTTAACTTTGTAGAAAATATTGTTGGTAGTATCCCTTCTGAATTAGTTAAAGGAAAACTAGTTGCAGAGATACCAAAGCTTAAGAAGGAGTATTTAGTTTCATTTGATGTCTATCCAAGTAAGTTTGTTGCTGGTCAGCATAGTGTTATTCACTTTTCTATTGGTTCTGATTTGGGTCATTACGGTGATCGTGTTCCTGGTATTTGGTTTAATGCTGATGGAAAAGGTGGTCTTTACGTTTCTGCACCAATTAATGGTAATTTTGACAAATTTTTTATCACAAATCCAATTGGATTGAATGAGTGGTCTAACATTGAAATTAGTCAAATTTTAAGAAACTCAGTTTATATATACACAATCAAAATAAATAAAGAAATCGTCTTTTCTGAAATTAATAACCAAGTACAAAGTTTTGATAATGTAAAAGTATATGCAGCAGATCCTTGGTATGATGTTCAAAATGGTTTCATAAAAGATTTTTTTGTTGTCAATGGTTTTACAAGTATGTTTTTAGTTGCTTCTTTTAAATTTTTAAACCTGCTTTCTTTTAAGACATTTTTTCTATATTTTTAACAAACTTAAATACAGTTTATTTTTCTCAGATGATGGATTTCAGCCAGTTATTGTTCTACCTAAAGGTATTTAAAATATTTTTTATTTGTTTTTATTATAGAAATATCGAGTCATGATTAGTCTTTTCTCGAAATAATAAAATAAATCTAACACACATATTCATATTATCTGAAATCAAGGAGTTTTTGAATTTTTTCTCCAATTGGTTTCTTGTTCTTCAACAATATTTTATGTTTTATTATAACTTCAAACTTAAATAGTTACTGCTTACAGCCTAAAACATATAGAGTAATAAATAGCAAAAATTATTACTATTCAACGTGTACAATTATAGAAACAGTAAGCTGCGAATTTCCTTTCTTGAAGTAATAATTTAAAAAAAAGAAAAAAGTCAGATAAAAAGTCAGGTAAAGAGTTTATGTTTTAAGTATTTATTTACCTTTAAACTATTTATTTTATGTTTAGTTTATGTTTTAAATATTTAAAAATTTATTACTTTTTAAAATCTTTTCTTTCACTTAACATGTGCTCTAGTATTGCGGTTTTACCTCCTCCGGCTAATTGCCTTATAGAGGTCACTTTACCAGAAGTCCGCAAAGACTGGTTGAGCTCCCGAGAGAGCGTCAGACCTGCTCTACGGACTGAGAGTAAGGTGAGTTTAGGTAGAACGAAGATATGTTAAAGTGAAAGACAAGTGAAATGCCTTTGTGCGGAGAGAAATCGAGAATAAGAAAAAGGTTTTAGAAGACGTTGATTAAGTTGAATTAATTATTTTAAGTGAAGAAAAATTTTTTTTTAAGTAAAATAATAAAAAGGTACAGGACTTTAACACAAATACCACGTTACTAAAAGCTACAAAGAAACATGCAAATAATATTTTATATAAAGGCCGGCAGTGTTTGTCTAATCATAAATAACAATATTTTTGTAGTAATTAAAGAAATTATATTTGTAGAAAACAGGAAACGTTTAACTAAACATTTAGTTCTTGTTATGAGCCAGTGTATTTTTCAGCTCATATTTCTAGTTTTAGGTTCCCATTTTCTATTTGACATAAAACGTTATTGATACAAAAAGTTTGACAGAAAATGTCCGTAGTGTTTCTACGGACATGGTAATTATATTTTTAAGTAATAATATTTCTGATATTTCTGATAATTATCCTGATCACTGCCATTTGGTCAACTTTTGAATTGTTAAACAAATGGTGGCATCTGCTGTTCCATATTTCACTCATGATGGTTTGAGTGATTGTCAAAAGCAGCTGCGATGTAGGGTTTTTCTCCGATAAATTCGCAGTTTCAATCGAAAATATCGAATTTATTGGTTGTTTTAGGATGTCAAGGAGTTATATACATGTTTAAAGTATTCCCATATTGTAACAAAGAGAGAAGGCAAAGATGTGCAGATTGTCCTCAATTTTTCCGCAAGTTTTACATTTGTTGTTTTTAACGATCTGTTGCCTTGTGCTTTTGGCAAGCGAGGCAGCGGAAGGTAAGCTGTCGGGAAGAAATCGAAAGAGAATCTTTTGTGTTGGTCCGTATGCGTGGGAGGTAAAGTTTTTTTTCCAAATCTGGGTCCACGGCATTGCTGTTTTTGTTGAACTGTTCCAGGATAGTTCAGCTGGCGCGACTGTCTTTTTGTTTTTTGCCACTTTTAAATAAATATTTTTTGTTGTTTTTAGGGGGATGTTAAACAGGGACCCGTATTTGCTTAAAAATCAATTGTGGTTTTGTAGTACTGAGACATTTTGTTGTCCCAGTGTTTTGGAAAAGTGTTTTGTCTTAAAAAGTTCCAGCTTTAGTTTTGTTTAGTAAATTTTACAAGTGAACTTGCCAACCAATACTTTGAAAAGTAGTAAGAATCGTGAATTTTGCCTTCTTTACACTCTTTTATTTGAAAGAGCGTTTTGGAGCGGAGCGCAAGACTTTGCTCCTTCAGTGATAATAATCCGAGACTTCCGCTTTTGACGGGTAGGAAAAGTGTCTCTCGTTTGACCGGGTTATAATCGGTCTTTTGCCGCAAATTTTCGAAAATGGCTCTATGCAAACGCTCTATTACCCAATCAGGAGTGGGCAGCACGTTTGCTAGAAACCACACTTTTGACATTGCTAGCGTATTTATCAAATTAGCCTTTCCTCTAAGTGACAAAGAACGCAGTCCCAGAAATTTGAGCTTTTTCTTTATTTTCTTAAGAGCTACTTGCTAGTTGAAATTCGTAGTATTGCTCAATCTGGTATAACTGGTAACACCTAAAATTTTAAAACCGTTGTCGTCGTTCCACTCTATGTTATCCAATTCTCTATAAATTTTGGGATCAAAAACCCCAGCAGCAAGACCCTTGTTTTTTGAGGCGTTGATCACTGAATCACTTGCTTTTTCGAAGATTTTTAGGTTTTCAAAGAAATAACGGACACATTTTACGTCCTTGGCAAAAAAGTTCGAATCGTCTGTGTTTTGCTGTAGTTTTAGAGGTTTCGGTGCTCCCGGTATAGAAAAACCCTTGATTCTGCTGTCCGCTCTTATTACCAAAGCCAGAGCTTCGGCGACAAAAACGTTCAACAAAAGAGAAAGAGGATCACCTTGTCTAACACGCCTTTCAATAAGAAAGGAGGTCGACAGAAAGCCGCAATTCAGAACTGTTGCCGAAACTTCTGAATACAAGGTGTTAATAAAAGATACAAAATTTTCTCCGAGATTAATTTTTTGGAGAATTTGCAGCAGAAACGCACGATCGACTTTGTCAAACGCTTTTTCTTGATCTATGGTCAAAATGAAACTAGGTAGTTTTTTAAATTCAGCGTAATCTATAAGATCACGTACTAGATGTAAATTTGAAAATATGTTTCTACCTGGAATTCCGCAAGTCTGATTTGGTTCTATAATTTTCCCCAATAATTTTGCAAGTCTTAGGGCCAGCACTTTTGTAGTTATTTTGTAATCAGCGCCGATTAAAGATATGGGCCTCCAATTTTGACATTTAGTAAGATTTCCTTGTTTGGGAATCAGTGAAATTATTGATTTTTTCATAGAGTGGCTAGTATTTTTTTCTACAAAAAGAATTTCGTAGGCAAGTTCTTCAAAATCTTTTTCTAAAATGTGCCAAAAAGTTTTGCAAAAATTCAGCTGGAAATCCGTCATAGCCCGGAGGTTTTCCGTTTTTAAATTTAAAAGGGCTTCTTTTAGTTCCGCTCCGGTTAGACGGGTGTTTAAAAACTGGTTTTCATCATCACTCAAAAGTTTAGTGATGCGTAACAAGACATAGTTTAGACTGTCTTTGCATAAATTTGTTTTAGGTGTAAATGTTTTTATAATACGTTGACAGGGTGTTTAGTATTTCATCAGGTTCACTCTTCAATGTGCCGTCATTCTTGCGAATTTCGGTAATTGACTTGTTCCGCTGTTGAAATTTTTCCAAATTATACAAAAAAATTGAAGTTTTTTCTCCTTCTTGTATTAGTTTTTGCTTTGTGCGAATAAACGCTCCTGGAAACTGGAGCAAGAAAAGAGCATCGCGTTTTTGTTTGATGCTATCTAAATTTAGGTTAGCGTTTTGTCGCTCCCGTTGGATTTCGTTTTCAATCCTTTTGATGTGTTTTTTATTTTTCGCACTTTCCTGTATCGAAATGTGTTGTAATTCAGCTCTAACAAAAAGTTTGCAGTCGTCCCACCATTTTAAAATAGACTCGTAGGACCTTTTTTTTTGTTTGCCAATCTTGAATTAAGAGTTCAATTTTTGCCTATGCACTTCTATTTCCAATAGAGAGAAATTTAATTTCCAGTATCCTGGAAATTAAATTCCCTCTCCTAGTTTTACTAAAATTGGCAGTTGTCGACACGAACTCGTGGTCGGAAAAAGGGTTGGTGAGAATTTAGGAGTATGTTGCTTTTTGGCGACTTCATCAGGGCAGTAGATTCTATCGAGTCTACATTTAACCGTCTGGTCCACTGTACATTTAAAAATTGGTCCATTGTACATTTAGAAGTAACCTTTTGTATAAACATTTGCTTCTAAATTGCTTGCGAGTTTGTTTATTAATAAAAAATATTTTCTGTTGATGGAAAATGTTTCTTTGGTTAAAATCGGCTAATATTGCGCTTGTGGGTTTGTATCTTTTTTTGAAATCTTTTTTTTAATACTTTAAAATATTTTTTTTTAAATAAAATTGAAAAATGTAACTTACAACATCATTTTGTGTAATATTAATATTAAAATATATTACATATGTGCGAGGACAATGCAAATTAAATATTTGTACGGTATTTGTATGTTAATTAACTTTTATATAAAAAATTTTTATCCTATAAAAAAATATATTCCGCTCCTTTAATCCAGGAGGCTTTATAAGCGTGAACTGGCATAAGTGCAAACTAGCATAAGTGCGAGGCGTTGGAAAAACTGGTCCAAGTGCGATGTGGCATAAGTGCGAAGTATAATAAATTGCGTTATGCCAATATTTTCAATTTTATTTGGCGCACTTGTCCAAGTTCACACATATTACATTTCGCAATAATGCCAATGTTTCCAAAATCTTTTGGCTCACTTATGCCAGTTCGCTCTTGTGCCATTTCGCATATATGCCAGTTTGTGCTTATGCCATTCGCACTTATAAAATTCGCGCTTATTCGTCGCTCATTCCCTTTATTCAGGAAATACTCCGTTTCTTTAATAAGGATTAAAAGCTCGATTTAATTTCAAATGTCTTGACATAGCTAAATATCGTGACTCTCTGTAAAGACTACAAAGAAGAAAATAAAATAAAGCAATATCATTTGCTCGAAAATTTAATATTTTGTAATCTTTTCACTCACTTATATAATTGTTTTCTTTTTCTTTAATTGTCGTCCATGACGCTCTGAACTAAAAACATTTTATAGAAAAATTTGCTACTAAATTGCTTGCTAGTTTGCTTTCGATAAAAAATGTTTATTCAAAACAAAAGTTAAAAGTTGGAAATTTTACTTCTATGCCATTGGCGAATAAATCTTTTTGACTGAAAAAAAAAAAAAAAAAAAAAAAAAAATTGACTGATTTTTTTAAAAGTATTTTAGAACAAGTCGACAA